ACCTTATAATCAACGAAACTATATTGTAGTAACATGAATTAATTACGTTTTTCTTTATCTATTATTATGAACTTCAATCATGATGAGAACAATTTGCTGAGGCTGCATTATTTTTAATGTTTTCTACAAGCATACGTAGCCGTCTAGATGTTTAAGGTTTCTTATATAATTTTTCTATAATAAGTTTTCATTATTTTATTACGAATATTTTGTTTTACGGTCAGTTCACTAATAAATACTTCATTAAATGTTTTTGACTTCAAATGATTTCAAGCAACAATTGATACACTTGCAAGTCATAAGGTAAAAAATATATACTAACAAAAGTATTTTTTAACCTTGTTTGTAGGGGATAATCTTCGGAAATACTGTACCGATCTTGAAAATTCTTTCACCTACAGGAAGCTACGTCATATGCGGGTGACATAGACTATAATATATGCAAGTGAAGTCACGGGAAAAAAGCTTGTTTTTATAGTAACAAAAGAAAGTAGAAGCATGCGAACAAATTACAAAGATCTAAAATTTCGTAAGTACTCTCGGTCGTGAGTAATAGACGCGGCCATTTGTTTGCATAGGACCTCTGTTGGGTCGGGTCGGGTCCATAGTTTTCACTGTAAAATTGGAATACACACATAAATACATGATAACAAATTACATATTAAATAAGTCATGCTTATTTTTGAACTTATATTAAATTTGAAAATAATTAAAGTAAATAATAAATTAAAGCTGAGGAGTTTTAAGGTGTATATATAGCGTCGGTCTACGAGTACGTCACAGTAGTTAAGCAACTTTCGCAAGGGTTTGTCATAGGATGGGTGAATAAAATTTCACTGTCTCCAGATCATCCGTGCTTCGGAAAGCACGTTAAGATATCCCGGCTATATATGGAGTTGTTTACTGCCTCCAATCCGTACAGGGCCTACTAAAAGGCTTTTAATTATATAATTGCATATTTGTGTAATCAAGTTAGTCTTCCTTAATATTATAATTAAAATTCAAATTGGGTTATTAATAAAACAATCCATTAACCTGTCTTAACATGTAGCATTTCGAGTGTGAAAATTCAAAACGTTAATCGATAGAATTCATAGAATACTTCATAATAAAGCTGATGGATTTATTGTACGTCATCCAAAACATGATTTACACGTTCGAATAAATTTCTTAAGCCTTACTATAATAAGATACAACAACATAAACATTATGTAACACCACTCAACCTAATGAACCTCATATTTTAATGTTTGATATGATTATATAAGCTACATGTCAAAGGAATCCGCTTTGTTATTCTGTTAAAAAGCCTTAAAGCAGGGACATGCCGAGACTAATAGTAAATACGAGTAGCTACTCGATACTTTTGATTCGATACCAAGTACTAATAGCATCGATTCAACCGTTTTGATAATTACTCGATATCGATACAAAAATAATCGGTATCGTATCGAATTAGACTGACCTTAATTAAAATATCTGAACTTCTGCATCTTACTGAACGACAGAGCGAAAGCTCATTCTTGCTAGGTTATCGGTAAAGTGCGCTATTCATTGCGTACGGGTGCTTATTTTCCAAGTAATACATTGTCTCTAAAATACCTAGAGCGGTAATTGTTTTTGAAAGTCTTGACGGTGAAGATTTTTACTGCGCTTAATAATAAAAGAAGATTTATGTTAATAAAATAAAAATTAGTTGATCCATAACTTTACTTTTGATTTCTCACAAAAAGATTGTTTTTTATCTCGTTTCATATAAAAAAAACTGACAGTATTGATATCAGTAAGTATCGATACTTGGGATCGGAACATTTCTACTTCAAACGAATTGTAGAGCTCAGCGTTTGACGTCATAGGGCGTCAATGAAAAATTTAACCCACAATAGAAAATTATTTCTGTGATTTTATATGTCGCCTAATATAGTAATAAAATTCTTAATTTTCTGACTTGCATCCCAAAAAGGCCGGTATGTGTCAAGTTATTATTTTATACATTTTACGGCCACGTCTTTGGGTCACCGACTTGTACATGAGTGCAAATTTCAAACCAGTCGGTAATTATCTCCAAAAATTTTGAATAATTCGAGAAAATTAGCTGTGATAAATGGACATGGATAGAAAAATCCGTGATTCTGTTAGGGTGTTTTTTGGTACGCAATCCTAATAATCCGGTAAGCTAGTTTATACAGAAAAGAGTGGACTCAGATCCAAACGACATTCTCTACCAGTCGTCTAGTATTTTTTTTTGTCAAAAAACACCATCGGTGGCCTTACAGATGTAATTCAATAAATATATATAGTAAAATTAAAAAGAAAACTTCTATTTCATTGTGATTGTAAGGAGGTCGTATCAAAAAATGATCACAAACGAAATGTAGTTTTGGCGTCATACGGCAAATTGGCGGTAATACCGGCAAAACGGCGGCGTCGCGAGATTGCTCCTCCACCGGTAACAAATCATTGGGAAATTGTGATTGATCAATCGAGCTATGCTTACTGAAAGGGATGCAAAGCGTTTTTTTTTTTGTTGACATAGTTACGGTAATCACCTTTGTTAACAAGAACATGTCGTGTTTGAAATGTTACCAGAATAATAAAATAATGTTTTAATTTAACAGAGTTCAAAGTGGAAAAGGGTTTTTATATTCGACGAGTAATTTTTATTAATAGATTTCTCAGCGACTTGTACACCGATTTTAAAATCTATTTATTAAAAAAATTATATATTTTTCAATATCACTTAAAAATCAAATTAATTTTTGAACAAAACTGACTTCAAGTACGTGACTTACTTTTTAAGTTGTTGGAGTCGGATTTTATTTGGTCAGAAATCTGATACAATACGCTTTTAATGATAACGGAATTATTCATTTTCTGAAAAGTCATGTTATTCTAATACTGATATTTTAGGGAGAATGAACTTGTTAGCATCGTAATAAGCGTGCAGTAATATATATTAATGAAGCTGTACGGGACATACACGCAATCATTGAACTAAGTATTACGTTTATTTTGTGTCTGGTTTATATTCCACTACACGGAAATATACTATCTTCGTTAAAATAACTACCCAAATACGAGAATTATGAAGAGAAAAGAGTTGATTTATTTTTGACTTGAGTTTATTGTTGACAAACTAAAAACTACTACTAAGTCTTTTGCCACTAATCCAATTATATTCCCACTGTGCTTGGGCTCAGAAAGCGGGATTTAAATGAATAGGGAGAATGGGCCATGGCCCTGAGTTGGAGATAGTAATTTTTGGTTACCCATCCTAAAACCATGCCCAGCAAAAGTTGCTTAACAACCATATCGCGGACCGAGCACGCTAAACAATGCACCATAAAGTTTCTAAATAAAATTTTACATTAAGTAAATTTTTCCGTGAGTAACATACGTTTTTCATTGCCGCTTATTACAAATACGCTTAGGCGTAAGCGTATTTGTAATAATGGTATGATACTCTTGGGAAACAGCACAGTCACACAGACCTGTAAATATTGCAAAAGAAATGTATCCTTATTCTAACAAATATTTAAGAAACTGATATTTGCAATTTATTTATTATGTGGTTGCAAACTACATTTTGAAAATTTTAAGCATGTTTATCCTCCATATTCCAAATTCACAAATTTGTTCGCCAGTATCTTAACATGTATTCTAAAAAAGGAGATGTTCCTTGTCACAATACACCACGCTATAAAATAAACCTTATCCAAATGCCTTCTAAATTAACTTTACACAGTTCCGGAACTTATAAAATTTCAGTTAAAATCTATAATAAAATACCTAAAGGATGAAAAAGCATATATTCGATTTATAGAAATGCAAAAAAATGTTCTTATTATTTATATCCTTATAAATAAATAAATTAATAAATGAATGAATATTTGAATTAAAAGTTTTGAATAAAATATGTATATATAATAAAATTTGAATGAAAACAATGTATATTAAATTTGTTTCCACATAACTATATTGCCATGGATGTCAAGGTGAGTATGAATATAATTAACTTAAATTTGTGTATTTTAATTTCTAAGTCACACGTATGTAATGCAATAAATAAAATAGAAAAATAGGTTAGAGGAAGAGAGAGGAGAGGAGCGCAGATTAAGCAACATTCATAAGGATCAGTCATAGGTTGGGTGACTGAAATTTTATTTCATCCATACAATCTGCATTCGGTCTGCTTGGATGGCTTAGTTGCGTTATGCGTAATTGATTCTAGCCGCTTGCGGAAACTCGTGGTCCCCAGGGAAACGTTTAGTGGGATAAAGAGTAACCTATATGTTAATTCAAGCTTAGAATCAAATAGCCAAATTTATGAAAATCCTATCATTGGATTTACGTGAAAATTTAACAAACACACATACATCCTCATAAACTTTCACATTTTTAATATTAGTAAGAAACACGATAACAATCAATCCTATGTATTTTTAGAATAAGTCAAACTACTTATGTGTTTTATCTTCGTACTAACCATCTTATTTCGATCATTTTGATTACCAAAAAAAAAAGAATGGAATTTTGAATATTGTTCGATTTCATCATTCATTGAGTAGACTCTTATCATGAATTATTTTAGGAAACATTGAAGAAAATATTTAAACTTTATTCATAGCGTAAAAGTATTTCATTTAATAATATTTGATAAGACCAAGTCCGCGCTTTCTTTATAACATTAGTATAGATATATTTGAACTTCTTCAAAGTAGATAATATTAAAACTCTATTAAATAATGTACCTTTATTTATTCTTACAGACCTTCATATTTCCCAATATTTAGCATTTTTTCCAAGGAATTTTCATATCCATTTCGACGTAAGTAGTTTCTTCCGAAAATCTATTTGATGACATCCGAGCCTCAATGAAGAGGTTTTGATTCGTAAGATTGAAATGTAAACTATGTTAGGAGCGTTCCCGCTATGAGGGCGGTGGGCGGCCGAGGGCGGCGCCCAACGCATATATAAAGCCGGTGGTAAGGCGGGCGGACACAACACTTGTTGCCGACGCTCGTGGCTGGTCGCTGATAGCTGTCCCACCAACAGAACACGTGACAAGTAAGTAATTATTTTAATAAAAAATAGTGTATCATTAAATATTGTCGGAGTGTTCGATGTTGATTAAAAAAAATTAACAACTATAGCAAAAATCAGTAATATTAAATTAATTATCGTTAATGGGAGTCAAAATTTAGTCAATATAAAATTCATAATATTCTTTTCATACATAAGCATTTAACTTCCAAAATGTCACAGAAGTTCGTCTTAAATCCGAAACCGCTCTTTTCGACTTAGGAAATTGTGTCAAAAAGGAAATTATCACATCAAAGGATAGAATACATTACTTTTTATGTTTTTTGTGTTTGTAGGATCTCGTTTTAAGAGACTTACGGACCTTTTAAATTATGATAATTTTAACAAGAAATTTAAAAGAAAAGAACTAAAGTATCTGTGTGTAAATTACAAAAAGTTTTGTTACGGAAGTTTTAAATGAAATCTTAAGTTAATAAGTATATGAGGCAACTGCACCAACAAATGAATACTCTATGAAAAACAATTACCTTTATTTTCATTGTAATTATACTTCAAATAAGCAATTCATTAATTTGAAACAACATTCAATTCAAAAGATGTTTATTACAATATATAGGTTTGGTACAGTTTACGTGTCAGAATGTTGACTGAATTATAACGTGTTTTATCACATCAATGCGTTTAGTAATTCTTATATTGAAGAGCTTAGAATATATATAAAATTATAATTTTGTATAGAATTTAGTAGAACGTGTGTTACACGTTTTAGTCGTTATTTTATTTCGTTAGTAATTATAGCATTATTAAAACAAATCTTGGCAATTTTTACTATTACCGTTTGATTACATTTAAATTTGTTCCACATTATTCCATTCTAACATTAGTTTTAACTATAAAATGAATACAATGAATAATATTATCTGTTTTATTTTTTTCTATGTCTTCTTATAATCTTTTTCAACCTATTAATATTCCCAACGTTGATATTAGACCTTTCTTGTATGATTTTAATAGATAATCTACCTCAGCTTAAGTGCCTAAATTGGAGGTGTTATAAAAATGGTTTGTCAAATATGACGGCAACTGTGACGCTAAAGGTTTCTTGGCAAAGAAGGTAGAACAAGAACTTTAACTTCGTAGTTAATAGTTAAAGTTATGATGTCATCTAACTATTACCAAATGGTGCAATACATTATCATGTTGATGTTAAACTGAATTGGTGTAACCTACCCTTGGAATTATACTGGTTAGTGTACGCACCGGATAAGCATAGCTATTAATTTCTTCAATAAAATTACTTATAAGATTGCTATAGTGTACCTTATGTTTGTTGAGTACCCCATATTATTGCGTTATTACGAGTACCATGAGCATGGAATAACTAATTCGAATTAATGATATTTTAATAAATAAAATTTTAAAATATCATAATTTCTTTCAATTATCTAACTCTAATCTAACAATGTTAGAAATTTTTTGATAATTTACCAATCTTAGTTTTTTGTTGATTTATATTCCCAGAGAAAATGCTCAATCCTACCTGATATTATTTAATAAATGTGTATAAGAAATAGGAATATACTATAGTCACTAACACTATAAAACTCGCTTTGCATCTTTTTCTTTACTACGTGGGTAGTGATCTGTATGAGAAACTACATCTTGGCCCAAATTATCTCTTTTTCTCAATCTTCTTCTCAAAGCTGCGTGGATGGAAAACCTTAAAAGTTAGTACTGAATAAATTATTTAATCATAAGAACAATTAAAATTACATAATATCGAAAATAATTACAGCAAAATTAAAAGACCTAAAGATACGTAAGAAGTAAAAGTATAAACTTAAAATTGTATCCATAATTGAATAGAAGTCATTACACGAGTGTAAGTGATAACTTAGTGCAAATATTTTTAGCCAATAGACGACAATTTAAATAAAGTGGGAACTGGCAATAACTTGAAATAATAGTATTCTAAGCTTTAGAAAGTTCTAACTTCATTCAAATTCTTTATTTGTTAAAAACATTAGTTTATATCATTACTTTTACCCAAGTGCTATTACGTCACGTGTTGAGCTCATTTACGGAAGACAATTTTGGGATAGGAATTCTACTATTTGGGATAGGTACTGCATCATAAAAGCTGTAGTTAATGAATGCTATAATTAGTCTCACATATTATTTGTCGATATAATAATAAGACTTACTTTATAAGTGAGTAAGTAGAATAATAAAAAGGGAGGTCAAATAAACTACCTAGAATCTAAAAGAAATTATCATTTTAATAGATAAAATCGTTTAATAGAATACACAACTCAATATTTATGAGAATTCGCAATCTTAATTTGTTTTAGTTTCTTAAAATAATTGAAGATGAATTAAACTTTGGAAACTTGCAATTTCAAATTCTAATACTCTGTGATATTCGGAGACAATTCGCTAAATGATTTTGTGGATAATATTCCTCCAACAAGCGGAATAATTCAAGATACTCAGACTAAGTTCAGTCAACGAGGATGGCATCCCTGGTGATTTAAACTATGCAAATAGTTAATATCAGTACCAAATTAGGTATTGTTAATTAGATTTTAGCTTAAGAAAATTTAATATTATATTATACGTTTAATTTTATCTATCTATCCGGTATGATGCTTTACAGGGTAGGCAGAGTGGACTTCCATTACGATTTTCATATATATTTTTTATTAAATCCGTTAATGTGCCCACTGCATTCACAAATGCACTTTCTATGGATGTGTTTAAATAGAAAGAACGGGCCATAGCCCAGCAAGCGGACACAGTGTGGATTGGTGATTATTAACCACTACAGATGCAGCCGGGTTTCACAGCTCACAGGAGCTCAAGATGATAGGATTTTTATCATCTATTACATAAGCGGTCGTTGCGAAACTAGCAATTGCAGACCTCCTTGATTTCCATAAACGATTGCCAGTTTTAATGAGTTGTCACGTCATTCTGCGATCACAAGAAATATATCATTAAAAAATCGTGTATCCGGGAAAATTTCATAGCGAAATTTAATATTCAGACATTTCAGTTTACAAATCATACATTTTCAATTTAAAAAAATACTTAGAATTATTTGTAGTAGACGTTTCTTAATTATTTACCATACAAAGAGCAACAAAAAAAAATATTTATCTCCTTTGTTTTACAAACAGTTACAGGCAGTAATAACGTGGTGATCTCAAAAAATGGCGAATAATTTGAGCCACTCCATCCTAGCAGACATCTTGTTTTCCAATAGAATAGTTATTCACATCGGTTAAACCCTATGAGTGCTTACGGCTTTTAATAATAAAAGGATTTATTAAATCTAATATATTAAATTTACGTGTCACAGTTTTAGTAACCATAAACCTCCGATTTTGATGAAATTTGATATAATATACAATAGGAATTGGTTGTTGTCTATTTTTTATGCCCTCAAGTGATAATAGTGGCCCTCCTAAGATTTATAGCAAAACAACGTTTGCCGGGTCAGCCAGTCTATAATACTATAAATAATGCATATTTCAAAAATAGACTTATCTTAAAAGTGGTTAAATTTTTCAAAAAACATTGAAGTTGGACTAAGGTTTTCAGTTGTTGATGATAACTGGCCCACGGGAATGTTTCATTTGATTATTTTTAGTGATACTTATATAGGTGCTATACGTAAACATTTTGTATAGGTAAAATATTAACTATCTATATAAAAGAAATTATATATACATAATGAAAATCATGAAATTTTAATTTATTTGCACGACGTAACATCGAAGAAATCGGTGCACATACCTACTTGCATAAAAAGTATACACACCCGGATTTTGAATAATGGGAAGTACGCTATTTTTTGTTTTTTCGCTATTATAAGCATGGCATCAAAATATTTAGGTGATATCTGACGAAAGAATCTTTTATTTTGTTATAAAAATAAAACTACTGATTTACTCGTAAAAGAGATTTATTTATTTTTACTCCACCATTTCTTTTTTTCATCTAATGTCAATATCAATCACTTCCCTTTTAATTTATTCGGTATTTTTTTTAGAAATTTCAACGTAATATATCCCATTCAATGGGAACACTTGTTGAATCACAACTCCGTTGAACCTTTACCTTTTTTATATGTGATAAATTTTTCGTTCACAATGCTATAGTTATATATGCTCTAAAAATCCACCAGCCCGATTAAGATGGAACTCGAACCCAAATTGTGTGAATACACATACATATGAACAAGTGCCTGAACAATTTGTCTGTTCTGTTGGGTCTCAGGTAGCTCAATGGTTAGAGAAGTAGCTTAGATTGAGAAAGGTTGTGGGTTTGATCCCATCTCGGTATATCAGCCCTAGGGTGGATTATTTGCGATTTATCGTTAAATTGTACGTTTTGTTTGAAATATATCAATTTGTTTTTATTGGACGCAATAAACTTCAAAACACTATTGAGAAAATTATGTTGCATTAAAAAATATATATGCGTTAATTTACAATTTGCTGAATTTCTAGTTCAGCAAAATGCTGTAATCTGTAAGCCAATATTGAGTCTAATCCAACGCGATTTATAAGCTGTGAATGGATTATTTGGGATTTTTCATTAAACTGTACGTTTTGTTTGAAATATATAAATTTGTTTTGGACGCAATAAACTTAAAACACTATTGAGAAAATTATGTTTCATTACAAAATTTATATGCGTCAATTTACAAATTGCTGAATTTCTAGTTCAGCAAAATGCTGTAATCTGTAACCCAATAATAAGAGTCTAATCCAACGCGATTTAATTATAAGCTGTGAATTATATCTAGAGCTTATAACAAGTACCTCTAATAGGTTGTAAGATAAACAACAGCGATAATTTGTGAGCACCAAACACTTGTTTTAATTAAAAGAAAGGGTTCGTGAGGCTAATTTGTCGTGTCGTTGAATAGAGCTTTTGGCTATTTCAAATGTAGATCAGGTTTTCTCCTTTCCCAAAATCTTCATTTGTTAAAATAGGAAAAACTGGACAGTTTCTCA